CCGGACAGCGCCAGCGTGCGCAGTGCTCGGCAGGCCGCTGGCCGAGCCAGCACCCGACTGCCCGGTTCAGCCGACCGGCAGTCCGGTCCAGACCGATTCAGACCGGCTGGACCGGTTCAGCCCCATTTTCTTCGGTTCGGTTCGTATTTTAAGATTTCAGTCTCAGTTCATGATTTCAGTGTCATTTTCAGTCAAAATTTCGGGTTCAGTTCAGTCCAGTAAATTAATATCAGTTCAGTTCCGTACTTAACCGGTTTCAGTTATACCGATTAAGTCCGGATATCATGTTAAATCGAGTAGAGCATCTTAACATAATTAATCAGTTAATTTATCAGTCTGAGCATAGTCAGTAGTAATTGTTTATATTATATTTCAGTTTGATCAGGCATCAGCACTACTTTCAGTTTCACGGATCAGGTGGGGACTCAGACTAAGTAGTACATTGATTATAATATCGCTACCATGTTTGAGGTATGTATTATCAGTATCCGCTCGGAATGGTCGTCGGTCCATTCTGGGTTCTAGTGGCCTAATCTGCCCACTAGAGTGTGCACATGGTGTCCGGTATTAGTTTGTGCCAGAAGATTCTGGTATTAGTTTGTGCCGACAGATGTTCAGTTACCAGTTATGTGACCTATGTCACGAGATCAGTATCAGATTATTCAGACCGGTATCAGATATCAGTTTCAGTTCAGTTATATATGCCAGGATCATGATATTGTTATTATTTTCAATGTTTACATTAGTAAGAGTTTCTGCGGAGCACAGTGCCTTAGTGCTCACGCCCCCACGTATTTCATGTTTTTCAGGTTGCAGAGTCGGGGACGAGGAGTGAGCTGACGGGCAGTTCCAGATATTTGTGGATATGTATATATAGGTTTTGTGCCACACAGTTATTCCGCTAAAACTTTCAGTACTTATACTCAGTTTTTGATCCGACTTTAGTCGGTTAATACTTTATAAAACCGTTTTTATTATCAGTTTAAAATTAACAGTTTTTCAGTAAAGTCAGATTTTTACGGTAGCACCTCGAATCAGCTTTCGCAAACATAAATATTTTATTTAATTATTTAGAAAAATTGCGAAAATACGCACTCTGATTTCACGATAAGGCGGGGTGTTACACATCGTTTAGTTTGATATTTCATATATTGTGTTATTTACTTTTAGAATCGTCATTATTTTCTAAAACAAGTGAACTAACAAATATGACCGTACTATATAAAAATATTACATTTGTTTTTTTTAAATATACATATATATATATATATATATATATTACACAACAACTAATATAAATAATTAAATAAAAAATTAAAATACAAAATATATTTTTTATAATATAAATTACAAATTATTACGATTATTTAGGTTAATTCAATTAACCGATCAAATGAATCGGTTATTTTTGTTATCAACTTGAGTTGAGACAAATATATAAAAATAATAACTTTATTTCGAGTGCAAATTAGTGTTATACAGATTGCACATTAGTGAATGTCATGTTGCACTTTATAAAATAACATGATGCACTTTATAAGATAGTACGTTGCACTTTATAAAACACAACACATTACACTTTATAAAACAACAACACGTTGCACTTTATAAAACAACACGTTCCACTTTACAAAACTATATAATGCATTTTATCACGATTATCAAATTACACAATAAATATCATAATCGACGAAAACAAATTTTATATTTGTTGATTCAATTAAAGATTCTGGAACTTTAAATTTTGGATATTTCAATTTGATATCGGATGTATTTATTAAAATAGCCAAATTGATCAAAATATATAAGCATGTGTTTTAAATTCACATTAATGTTTGAAGTGTTTGTGTACACACTATTGTGCAATTTATTTATCATATTGCGCAATCACTAAAATTTTAATAGTTTCATATAAAATGATAATATTATCTTAATGTGCATATGTACACCCCATAATGTGCAATTTACTCATTAATATGATGTATTCATTAAATTTTAACAAATTACAAATTGAACCCATGCACTCAATCAAAATATAGTGAATTTTTTTAGTTTGCATATTGGTCCTCAAGCATTATCAAATTTTTAAAAGGAAGTCTCTCAGCCCCTACATCATAGTCACCTCCGGCGGCCATTTCCTGCCATCTCTCCGCCGCACAGGCCCATTGCACCGGAGCACCCACGCACCACGGTCGCCACCGGAGCCTCCTGCTATGCCTCCGTGCCCCCTTCCTCTGCCGTTCTTCAGCCACCGTCGTCGACGTAGATGCCTTCCGTCGACCACCTCTGTCCGCCAAGGTCTCTCCGCCCAAACGCACCATCTTCACGGCGCCAAGCACCTTGACGAGATCTGTCAGGAGGCTGGTTGTAAATAGCCATGGAGGACGACGACAGGAGGATAGTTACAGTGGCAGAGCTGGTTCTGCCGGTGCTCGTCGAAGGATAAACACGACTTGTCGGCGTGAAGCTTGGACGGAGGCTGGCCGGCGGCTTTCTGAGGTGGAATGGACCATCGTGTTTGTGGCTGACGGCAGCTGTCGGCGACCGGCGGATCTGCGTCGAACGTTGGAGATGGCAGCGGGTGGTGGCGAGCTTCATTTTCCGGTGTGGGAACTCAGGAGTCGGAGAGCTCATTAATGGAGATGTGTGTGTGTGTACGTGGGAGAGAAATGGAAGATTGGTGGAGTGGAGGTGGAGCCCGCATGTAATGTGAATGCAAATAGGTAGTTACCACTTTGCCCTTTATTTAATGGTTAAATGTGTACATTTGACCCTGAAGTGTATACTTATTTACAAAATTGTCATCACATATTTAACACCAATATTTAAATTTTGACTTAATCTTGACCATTGATACATTGGATCCAAAGATGTATAATTATTCTCATTTCTTTCCCTAAGCACCATTCTCACATGATCCTAACTCTACACACACACACACACACACATATATATATATATATATATATATATATATATATATATACATATTCGATTTAAATATTTTTAAACATGTTTTCTTTACAACAAATTTGAGAAAGCATCTTTCATATGAATGTGGCCGCCGTATCTCTCTCTCTCTCTCTCTCTCTCTCTCTCTCTCTCTCTCTCTCTCTCTCTCTCTCTCTTCAGAAGCTCGGAGAAGAGTAACAATGGAGTTCTTGGACGAATTCAAGACCCGACCCAGATTCCTCCTCCAATCCAAGCATCCGACCCGACCTAATTTCGTCCACAATTCCTCCCCGTCACCCTTCTCATTCCTCGCCTCCCTCCACCGGCCGACCCTTGCGGTCTCCCTCGCCATCTCCGTTGCCGCCTTCTCCCTCCTTCTCCACCGCCTCAACTTCGAGCCCTACAAATCCCTCCTCATATGGGTCTCCTTCTCTCTCCTCCTCGGCCCCTTCGCCCCTCCCCGCCTCACCGCCGGCGACATTCGCTTCGGCCTCGGCCCCCCTCTAGAGGAAATCCCCGACGTCCCTCCCCCCGCCTCTGAGTCCGACGAGAGGCCAATCAGCCGGTAATCTTCCAGATCCCAGCGGAAATCCCCACCGGAGACCGCCCCCGATATGCAGAAATCGATGACGATCCGCGTTGATCCCGCTGAAAAGAGTCGAATTCAGCACGACAAGCCCGACGGAAACTAGTCCGGCGAAGACGACGAAGAAAACGATTGGGACGAAACTGACGAGGAGCTGCTGAGGAAATTGATGGCGAAGCACCCTATGGGCATGCCCGGCCGTTGGGAGGCCATAGCGGAGGGTTTCAAGGGTAAGCACAAGGTGGAGACTGTTATAGAGAAAGCTAAAGAAACAGGCTCGATAAAATTCGGCGATCGGGATTCGTACGAGAAGTTTCTGAAGGCTCGGAAGCCGGTCGTCAAGCGTGTTCTCGAAGAGTGAATTGGAAATCTCGCCGGAACTCAAAAAATGGCGGTGAATGGACTTCAACATAGGATTTAGCTTTGCTCAATGCACTAAAGACATTTCCTAAGGATGTGGGAATGAGGTGGGAGAAGATTGCAGCTTCTGTGCCCGGAAAAACAAAATCGGACTGTATGAAGAGAGTTACCGTGCTGAAGAAGGATTTTCGGAGTTCAAAGGGCTCATCTTCCTAAGCTTGTTAGGTAAAAAATAGATGTGAAAATGGGAAAAGTTGCTTTGTTTGCTTAATTGTGTGTCTTGAGTTGAATACATGATATTTGAAGTGTTTCGATTATGGTTTTACGACTGTGTTCAGTCGAGATGATGACTTACATGATTAATTATATTGAAACTTTAGAGATTTTTTTTTTTTTTAAATATTTCATATAAATGTAAAATTTAAATATTTTTAAACATGTTTTCTTTTCAAAATAGTTTAAAAAAATTTGTAGGTGACTTTACATATTTTAATAATAATACATAAATTTTTACATATTTTTACATGTTTTTAATATTTTAAACATGTAAACTTTATGTTCTCTTATACAAGTTAATTTTATATTGCTGACAATAAACTGATATACGACGGTAAATTATATCACATGTGAACCCCACTCTTTAATTTATAATATATTTTTGCTCTTTTAAAATAGGATAATGGTTCCTCACCACTCGAACTCGAAACCTATTTATAATTATTATTTAATATTATTTACCCGTGCATCGCACAGGACTACACACTAGTTTGAGTCTAATAATATTACTGAATAATCTTTTTACATGTATATGTGACATAATGCACAAAATGATCTTTTAGAAGACAATCTTAAACTATATTATAGACTTGTGTATTTAAGAGATGTTCTTTTTGTTTTCAGATTTCTTGTACATGAAAATTTAAAA